AAGAAGCGAAACATAACTAACGAGGACCATGCTTTTAGCAAATTAAAAGCATAGCACTTGAGAGCCTTCAATAAACATTATTACTGATATTGTTTGAATTATTTCGTCTTGCACAATTGTAACGTGTCACTCATTTGATACAGAAACCAAAAGTAAACTTTGGTTCTCAAAACCAATTTATTACAAACAAACAAAAGTACAGCTGCGAATGAAATGAAAACTGATTTTACAGAAAATAATCTAGAATTTCATTAATTTGAGCATTTTTATGACTAATTATTTTGAAAAAAAAATTGACTTAAGCAATAATCATATATAAAATTAATGATGATTTACGTAATGTATGACTGCCTGTATGATATATAAAAATCGCTTGACCTCTGAAATAAATTTGCTAAATAGCTGATAATTGACGCAGTTGTTTTGGTCGTACGTAATGTCGCTTAATTATAAAAGTGTTCTGTTAATTTCTATAAAAGGTATTACCTAAGTGAATGTGCATAATATTATGTTACATGTAAGTATTGATAATTCCATGCTGTCGATATTTACAAATGTTTCCTTTTTTCCAAAATTGCCTATAAAAATAAAATTAAAATGTGTTGTAATAATGAATCATAAGAGTAATATCACTGTATAATAATTGCATTGTTAACTATTACAATGAATTAGCTATATCCCGTAAAAGTACGATAAACACAATGAGTCATTTACATTATCACAAAATACTTTCTGAATTTAAAATAAACTTTTTAATAATTCATTAATCTAGCACTGGTTTAAGCTTCATTTAGTTATAATCCAATGAAAACGATGTATTTCTTAACAATTGTGTGTTAATTTTCGTAGAAAAACAAAAGACGATACTTTATTAAATTCCGTTTTTCATAGCGCTTAAAAGGACCGAGGTCGTAAAAATAGTCATTTATAGTAACATTAACGAAGCTATATAAAACTTGACACTATGTAAGTGAGTGTTCATCAGTAGCTATTATACAGATATTAGAAACATTCCCCGGTCGAAGGTTCTAATCTGTAGAACAACACGGATGAACACTATAGGGCAATATCCCTGCTGATGCGACCATAAAATTCTCAAGAGTAAAATTAACTTAGCTGCTTTAATAAAATAGAAATGATGAGTAAATATGGCTTTGTTTTGACTTATTCTGTATTAACATTGAACATCATTGGCGTCTCACATCCCTGCTTCTTTGAAGACGTTTTGTCTCTTTCTTCAGATTACACGATTTTATACAGTCAGTAATTCCCGTTGCATGTTAAAGAATCATAAAGAAAATAATCTCCATTACCCCAGTCAGACAAATGTATCAGAATTCATCATAACTGTGACAATGACATAAAATTGTGGTTTGTTTCTTCCTAATCAATATATACGTAATTACTCTAAAATGTTGTAAGACAATCTGTATTGAGTGAACCGTCCATGTACTTCATGTAACAGCACTTGAGAAAATGGTGAATAATTGGCCTTTCTCGTGCTAACAAATGAAAACTATAACAGTATTGTTTTTATTTTTCATGTCATAAATTAGACTAAGAACTAAGATTTTCTAACATAATGAACAATTGGTAAAAATGATCCGGTAGCCTCTTAAGAATAAATTGATTATGTCGTCCGTATGTATATTGATTCCGCCAAACCCTGTGTTATTTGATCCATTCACTTACTCTTTTTTCTACTACCCCGCCCCCTTCCATTTAAATTGCACCCATTTTACCCCTTCTTTATTCCACTCTTCAATGCCTATTGTCCGACCTATGTTCGATGGCCTGGTGTGAGAGCCTTTAAGGCTTGTGTGGCTATAACATTATCGTGGCTGCGTTCCTTGGACGAGGCTTTTTGTCTGTTGATCTTCATTTCTATATCGTGAACATGTATCTGGTAGATGAAAATGTAGGTTTAAATTCAGCGAATGCAATTTGCGCATGTGTAGCACACTGTGCTGAATTGCCATTCATTTCACAATAATGATTGGGGAAACATTTTATTGGAAAATGTATAAAACAATAGATTGTTAATGTAATTGATATTTTTTCACGATTGTTCTGCTCTTGCTCTTGTTTTTTTTTTTTTTTTTTTTTTTTTTTTTTTTTAATAAAAATGATTTCGGTATAATACAATTGTTGATTGATAAACGTGGACTTCTGTAGCACTGAAAGTGAAATTATTTGTGAAAATAGTAGCAAAATGTAAACAAAGTGATGTTTCGACTTCCATACAAATTTTTGAAAGTTGAAAATAACCATTTTTGACGAGTGTTTTTGTAGTACAATATATATACAGATGTCTTCCGACGAACTCCGTGACAGTTATCACAAGAGCTCCTTAACAAGTTATCATAAGATCTCCATCCTTCGTGTAACAGTTCCTCCCCCGTGGTAATGGAACAGAAGCAAAGTTTGGTTAAGGTAATTGACCAATGACTTATTGTTTGGAAACTTTAATAGAAGACCAAAACTAAAAAGCTTTAATCAAATAAAAAATAATCCATTTCTAAGGCATAATGAGTCTTAAACTAGACACTAGACTTTAATGTTTAGGTAACTTCAGCATGATCGGCGTGATTAACCACTACATAATAATGTTGCTAAACGTTTCACGTTCACTTTACTGTTTATATCAGTCTTAAGTTGACGTGTCACGTTATTTTTTTCAGCTTGTAGTAATTCTTATTACTCATGTGTGAATCATGTATGGTGCACTGTGCAAAAAAAAAATGATTTGATTTGATTTTGTGATTTGCACTTCAAGTGGCACGTCTTTGCTTAGTTTATACATAATTTTATTTAGTAAGATTCTGTCTTCCAGAAATATTTCATAAGAATATCCACATGATATATTTCTATTGTTTGAATAAGTATGGAAAATCTGCCCATTCAAAAAAGGAAAAGTGCATGGTCTTCTTTTTCCGATGAAACTGCATTGTTTGATGTGGTCTAGCAAACGCTTGAAACATTAACTATTTATTGAGTTGACATTTACATGTTTTTATTGTGTACTTAAAACAATTACGGAAGTTCAATTCGTAATTAATTGCATCAGAATATACAATCACTAAGATACAGTATCACTAGAGTAAAACCAATTAAATGGAAATTGTTTTAATGTTTAATGTCACATCATTACAATGTTTACGTTATATAACAAAACTTAAACAAAGGTTATTGAAAATGTTTTACATTAAGATCAGTTTCTAAAAGCAAGACTTTTTAAACTTGATATGTGAACATGTAGATATAGGAAGACTATACATTTACATTATACATGTTTGTGTGTATATCAAAATATACATGGCTGGCAGTGTGATTAGGGCTAATGTCAACTAAAAAGCTGTTGCCAGAAGGTGCATCCGATGGGTTATTAAGTACCACCACTCAAGCCGGTGCTAGGGGACAATAGGGATGTTACACTTTTCCATTATAACTCATGTACAGACTCAGTCAAACAAAGTCTGCAATTTTCATGTACACTGTTGTGATTAATGTTTCCGAGAGATCACACTTTTTCCAGATTTATATATGCCAGTCCTATGTTAGATCATCCCGACAGCCATGTGTTATTTAGTTTATTTTACCAAGAAAACAAGGATTTATATTTATATTGTCAATTAAAGTCCGTGCTACAAATAAAACACAGATCCTGTCGCATAGAATAATACTAAAAATATATCACAATCAGTTCAGGGGAGTTAACAAGTACAATATAGAATACGGAGGCATGTAGGAGTAATATATCTCAGGTGATACGAGGGTAATATTCAAAAAGAACACATTATAAGCCTATAAGTTTTACATTGTAGGATGTATTGAGGTAAATTTATTTTCTTCAAACAACAGCTCCTCCTAAACCAAAGGGAACACTCACAGAAATGTTCCTTTGGCAGCTCTCTGCAAAAGGTTTCCAAATGACACTATTCATTTACAGGCGTTGAAATATGCTTTAAAGTGTTTACCACAATACAAAATATACTTGAGGCCCTCTGCAAAAGTTTTATAAATCATGCCCTTTGGGTCAAAATTGTTATGACCCTGGGGTGTCTTATTTTTTAGACATAAACTTATCATGGAAAGCATATTTATTTTTCTAGTCTGAAGATCAATGGCCTAGATCTTAAACATTTGGCATGTAGCATATCTACTTTACTTAAATTATATCCATCATACCTCACATTGGGGTCATGTTTGATCTTATCAATTTTCATCTACTTGAAAACGGCTTTGAAAACTATGCTGATGATACCCCGCGCTCCCACTTTTATTTTCTATTTCTATGAATATTTTAAACAACTAAAATGAAAGGAGAGAAACAAACAACTGCAGTTGTTTAAAATGTACATTTTATTAAGGTCAGACTGACTAAGTTGTTGAACTAAATTTCGTAATTTTCGCTTGGTTTAATCAAATAAATGCAATGTTTAATTGTTAAAATAAAACAAGAACGATTGAAGGCACATTAAGTTGTAAGATGTGCTATTATTTTTCTATTAATTTCTCAAAAAGCTTTCTTACTTACTTACTTGCTTGCCTGCCTGCCTGCCTGCCTGCCTGCCTGCCCTACCGTACCCTACCCTACCTACCCACTTTATGCATTTGGTATAGTAATTGTGATTTAGTATTTTTGCATTAAGGTTAAAATACATTTCTCAATATTTTGCTCCCTTTATTGCTACACCTCGCATGTTCTAAAGCCATTATTACATCATTATAAAGCACAATTAATTCCTCTCTACTGTACAGAATGAAAAAAAAAACTTATATTCATTTCTGTTGAAAAAGAGATTAAAAAATCTAATTTAAACTTTAATATGAGACGAAGACAAACGACTTTCGGCAAAAGTATTAAATGAAATGGTGAGCATGTGAATGTTAAATCAAAATGGGCTCTTGCATTATTTTACTAATGCTCGTGTGTATTTAGGACTTTTATGCCTATAGAATAGTGTAAAGGTTATAGTAGTGTGCGACCTAAAACCTATTTTCACAACTTTGTTTTATTACTACACGCCGTTTTGTATCCACTGACAACATAAAATCAATACGAATTTTACTGTTGATAATTTAGGAGTTTTTCGTCCATTTTCACAGGTATTTTACCCATGTTTATGAGATAAGTTTAAAAAGCATATACTGAATTATTATCTTAATGCTTTATTGGTCAATTTTAGAGGTATTAATGGTGTAAAGATTGACTGTCAAAATACAATATCATTTTTTAAGTTTTCTACTGTTCTTTTTACAAATTAGATCTAAATGTTTATATTTAAAACTAATTAAAAATTTGAAAAAAAACACTTAGAAACAGTATTAACTTTGTGCAATAGATGGATAAAGAAATACTCTTATAACCCTAATGGATAACCCTAATTAATGCACAGATCCGGATCACTCCGGCCCACCTCTCTCTAACGGTATCTGGACGTTTCACCCATAACCCATCATAATTAGAGTCACAGTACCTGTGCTCGACCAGCCCAGTGCTCGACCAATACTTCTATTTGTGTACGATTTATGCATTAAAGTGAAAAAACCCAGGGAGTTTGTGTGTGCTATTTGTACCTGACCTGTAACCTCTACACCATGTACAAGTACTCCAAGCTTGATAGAAGATTGGCCATTTTGCAGGCAATATTTAACAGTACAAAAATACAATTCTATAATACAAGTAGCAGTAAAAACTATTTAAAACACTAAAATAATGATAATTTAGGGCAAATTTGGACAATACTTTGTTAAATTGCCTTTACTCTTATGATTCCAATTGATTTCCATAGGAAAGGTGCTCAAAAATTATCAAAACCCTGCTTTCCATAAAAGGCAGGGGCTATGAACATGTAAACAAATATGGCAGCTGTACTGAAACAAATCGGGAACACACCACTAAAAGGGTAGACCATTTGTATATTACACCAATTATCACACTTAACTATGTTTGCAGAGTGATTTTAGTAAAAAAATATGAGAATAAGTAATCTCAAACACCCCAGTATATGTAAATTCCAAAACTCTAATAATTTAATAAACTCTTATTATTTGTCAATGTATAGCATTTCCTTTGCTCTCATATTTACATCTATAGACACTAAAGCATAAATGTTTCAAAATATTTTTGAAATAGAATTGTTGAACATAAAAAGTCATATCTGTTTTTAAAAAATAAAAAATCTGATAGAGATAAAACCACCTGGTCGAGCACTGGTTTGGTTGCCTGAAAAATATAGTGGTTTTATACCCTATATACAACTTCGTGGTAAATTGTATCCTGATCTGTGTATTTAAAAAGCTTTAGCTAATTGTGAGTAAGAAAGGGCCAGCTTTGTAACAAAAATAAGTTTCCCAGCAAACTTTTTGTTCTGAAAGAGTTTTTATGTGATTTTGTGCAAAACTGGTTGAGCACTGGTACGGTGACTCTATACAAAAGGAAACTAGATTTAAATATAGTGTAGTCTGAACGCTGGTACTATTCTCCATTACCATGTATATATATATAGACAGTATATAAATTAACCCAACACATTAACATGCAATGGAGTTTTTTATGTATGCAGGTTATTTTACTCTTCAAAGATATAGTTTTATATATAATAATATATATGGTAATATATGTCAACATTCTGTTAACTAAACACTAACACATGTTGTCATCGTATTGCAAACTTACCTGTACACAGGTGGTATTGTTGAAAAACCTTTTTAGAGGCCTCATGTGAAAGTAATTTAGAATGAAAACTTTGTTACCACTGCCAAACTGACACTTGTCTGCGTGATTATTTATCAATTTTTAGCTCGACTTTTCTATGAAAAGGGGAGCTATCCTACTCGCCCCGGCGTCGGCGTCGGCGTCACACCTTGGTTAAGTTTTTCGTACCACCCCACTTTATTTCAGAAGTATTACAAGTATGGCTTTGAAACTTACCATACTTGTTCACCATCATAACCTCCATCTACAGACAAGAGTACATAACTCTGTCAAGGTTTTTGACAGAATTATGGCCCTTTTTTGACTTAGAAAGTGTATTGAGCTTGGTTAAGTTTTTTGTACCACCTCACTTTATTTCAAAACCATTGGAGGTATTGCTTTGAAACTGACCATACTTGTTTACCATCACGACCTTCATCAACAGACAAGAGGACATAACTCTGTCAAGGTTTTTGACAGAATTATGCCCCTTTTTGACTTAGAAAATACATTGAATATGGTAAAATCCACTTATTGCCTTAACCCTTTGAGATATTGCTTTGAAACTTTTAATGCTATTTCACATCATTACCCCCATCTGTACGCAAGAGAAGGTAACTCTGTCAAGGATTTGTTTTAAAAATTAAGGCCTTTTATCGACTTAGAATCTTGGTTAAGTTTTTAGTACCAGTCCACTTTTTGACTGAACTGTTTGAGATATTAATTTGAAAGTTGGAATACTTGTTTACAATCATGATTCCCAAACATGTCCAGGAGAAGGTAATTCTGTCAAAGATTTTATTTGAATTATGGCCCTTAACTGTCAATGTTTTGTATTATAGGCAAGCACTAAAAAACTTAAAAAATCTAAAAAAATTCATTCCTATCCACTTGTTCACTTTACCATAAATTATGTCATAATAAAATAATTCTTCACTAAATATCTTAATGCTCATGGCCATTGTTCACTTTAAAAATACAGAGATTCTTGTATTGCCTTTTACTGCAAAAACTTTTTTTATTGGCAAGCAATAAAAAAGTCGAGCGCGCTGTCTTACGGACAGCTCTTGTTAAAAGATATATGCAAGTAAAAACCAATGCAAGTGTTTAAACAAAGAATATTGGTACTGCTTCTGTACGGGAACTGTTTGAATGCCAGAAGTGTTATCGGACTGTGCATCTCCATCCCGCAAGAATTTTGCTTGATCAACACCAGGTTTATAAAAGAAATTTATTATTCTTTTATGAAATGATTTGACTGCACTACATTTTCAACTTTATTCATCAACACATTCAACCAATGATATTTTTTTTAATGAAAATACAGCAACAAGAGTTGTCGCTCTCAACTTTTTTAACGAAAATATAGATTTTATTAGGTCACAATTACCTCCTTAATGTTTATGGTGTTCATGTCAACAAATAGGCTGACTAGACATTTTATGCTTTTTGGGAAAAATTATCAATTCAGATGCTGGATTTTCATGCTCATGTTCCAAGATGTGCTCAGTCTTTGAATAAATAGCGTAAATCCTGCAATCGCTCGTCCTAGAATAGACACTGTCAAAATCTTGTATCTGAGATATTTTTGCCATAATCAATGTCTTGCTTCTACAGGAATTTTATACCACTAACCTGCTTATGTATAACTTGAAAAAGTTAACTCAATAACATTGAATTTCTACAGAAAACATATTTATTTAGGCATTTATAATATCTACTACATGCATGCTAAACCAATACAAGAATAAACAATTGTCATATGCTTCAAAATTAGATAATGTTGACTTAAAATTTGTATTACAGTAAAACAGCAAGATGCCAGCCAAGAAGAAGAAGTCTGGGAAGATGTCCAAGATGACAGAGGAGGAGAGATTGGCATATGAGGAACAAAAACGTCTTGCTGAAGAAGAAATGAGAAAAAAGAAAGAAGACATGCTTACACAGTTCTTAAAGGTACATGATTAAGTTTTAGTTAGTTTGATATCTCAGGTGATAAAATCGCTGCAGTTGGTAGATTAAGTACACTAAGCATTACCCAGAATAAGAAGTGTTGTTCTTTATAAATCCTGTTTCACCTATACATTTGTTGCAGCTTACTTTTTATTCAACTTCATTAAAAACACAATTAACTAAAATAAAGAAACCATTTGATTAACTTAATATCTTAGACAAACTAATGAGAAATCAGCAATCAATTAGAGAAATTTTCTAAAATTCATACTAAAATATAGTAATTATAATGGTCAATTAATATACTTTAAGGATAAACTAACTAAAGAAGAGCGTGCCACAAGATTCAACTTAAACAAACTCAACCATCAATGGCGTAACATCATGAGAGAAGCGAAGTCGAAAGAGCTGAAAAAAGACATTGAGATTCTTAGTCAGACATTTGAGCGTGTTGTAGACAGAAAGGATGCGGTAATTAAATCCCTCGCCAAAGATCTTATGGAGGCAGAGGAGCAATATGCTATGGCCTTGAGAAGTCATCTACAAAATATTGATAACCTTATAGGTAATTGTTTTATATCATTTATACATTAGTATAATGTGATCTTATTAGATGTTATTTGTTTGCTATGGATATTTTAATGGATATAATGCAAGGTTTTTACTGAAGTAAGGAATATGGTATTTAATTTTGGAAAAAAAATGGTACTGCTTAGATAGTGGTAGTGGTGGCCTGCCAAGTGATTAACTCATGGGACTGGTAATAATTGCTTACTGTGTGGGTTCAAACCCTGTCGGGGACGATCCATTGTTTCCTTGAGCAAAACTGTACACTCATTTGCGTAGTACTGGTTGGTTCCAGAAACAGATTTGAGCTTGTATCTGTTAGCTTATAGCTTGCTAAAAATAAATTCTTTATAAACTGTTTAAAGAAAGGGAATATCAAATGTAAAGGTGTAAAATTGTTCTTTGTTAAAAACTACGCTCCTTAAGACAATAATTTGAAAAAAAAAAATGTTAAAAAACATATCTCTGGGAAAAAAAACAATTGTACACTTCAAATTACAAGCTTAATAACAGGAAGGGATAATTGTTTAAATTCATTTAAATGAATTCAAACAATTATCCCTAATATTCTTACGAAACTGATGTTACATATATTACAATTTTATAATCTTTTTGCAGATTTACAAAAGTCCAGATTAGATAAGTTAAAGAGCGAGTATGAAGATGAACTTGAGATAATAAAGGAAGAGTTTGATACAGAGAGGGCAATCATGGTTGACCAACATAACACAGAGATGAATGATATAGCTGACATACTGTTTGCTATGGAACAAAACTTCCAGGAGAGAGAAGCTGAGGCTAAAGGAGAATTCCAGAGCATGAGAGATGAAATCAAGAATAAGGTAAATGTGATTAAGTGCATTAATGTATTGGATTATAGACCTTAATGAGCTTCTATGTGAAATTCCATACTGGTATTTTTCCCAAAGTGGAAAACACCTTCTCAGGACTGGTGACAAAAATGTAATGTAAAATGATTACTGTTGAAAATTGGCAAGAGCAGGTTATTACAATAACTTTACTCCAAATTAAAATAACAATGGTTTGTAAACCTTAATTGCTATTGAAATATGTTAGCCATGATTGGCCTATTATGAAATGAGACAGAAATTGTATATTACAAAAACTTTACTGAAAATGAGACTGAACATTTTTAGGCTAAAGTATAAAATGGTACAAGGTGTCAAGTGTTAAATCCATCATTATTTTAGTTCTAATGTTTTAATAAATGTTGGTATTCCCTGACATTTCTAGAATCTAGAGGAGAAGCATGCACTTCGTGTACAGTTAGAACAAAAAGTTGACAACTTGTGGATGCAATTCAGAGATGCCTTACAGAACTATAATATGACCACAGAGGAGAGAAAAACTGCATTTGAAGCTCTAAAAGTGAAGGATGAAAGAAGTGCAAAAGAAATAGAATCACAGATGAGAAAATTGCAGAGAATATCAGTAAGTATAGGGCTTAATTTGTTCAGTCTACCCGCTTAACTCAGTACTGGGAGAGCATCTGATTTGTATCCAGTGATGGCTGGTTCATTCTTGCATATCAGACTGGTGTTTCCATTAGTTTTACCAATGCTGGAAGTTTCATCTGTGATGAGGGGTGCCTGATGAGTCATGTGCTATACAATGGCATGCTTAGGATGTCGTAATTTTGCTGTTATGAATTAAGTTGTAATTTCATACGCTGTTGTAAGAAAATAGTTACCGGTGTAATGACTAAAATTTCCATGAAAAAATTGTTTTACTGAGGTAAAGAATTTAAGATTTGATGAAATATGCAAGAAAAAATATCTAACATTTCTGTTTGTAATTTAAAATTGCTACAAATCGAATGATCAATTAATGTCTACTTGAGCATTAACACATTAATGTTATCATGCTAATAAATCATGAGATGTCTGAAACATTATTTTGCTCTATTTCTAAATCAGGATCAGATAGCAGCATTGAAATCTAAGATGGCTACAAATGCAAAAGAATGTGAGGAGAGAAACAAGATGTTGAAAGAGGTAAAGAAATTTTATTGCAATTACAAAAAAAGTTATATATCTAACCATCACATTGGTAAACTTGTATAATATAAATGTCCTGCTTTGAATTTTGAACTGACTATTTTTAGTGTGACTACTATGGCGTCACTCTTTAATTAAGTTTTTGGGTGCCAGTTGGTATCCCTAAATTAATAGAAGGGAATAGACTGAAACTTCACACACTTATTTGAGAGCAAAATAGTGAGTCTTTGTCCAAGGCCCATAACTGTAACAGTTTAACAGAGTTATGGCCCTTTATGAACTGAGAATATTCTACATTATCCAGGCTCTTGTTTTACTATCAAACAGTGCGAATAGCCGGGCATGCTGTTGTTACAGCTTTTGTTAACGTAAGATGTTTTGATACAGCAATGCTGGTTTTAAGCAGCAAGCTTGATATTGTCTGGCCAAACTGCAAGATTATGCTAGCTGGCCTGTCTCTATATTGATGGCATAAATTATCACGTAGTGAATGGTGAACTATTGGTCTGACTCTAGTAACATTGCTAGAGCATGTTCATTTGCAGACATAGTCATTGAAAAGGTGTCTCTTTGCAGTTAGATAAAGCAAATCTTTATTCCTGCAAATATTCAAAGAATTCTTTGAAACTTAGAACATCATTTATAATGTGACATGGCCATACTTCTAATTATAGATATTTATCTGTTACAAAGATATAGTTCTTTTTATTTTCTGTTGCAGGAACGTGAAAAGATGTTGAAACATTTCCAGGAACTTAAAGCACAGATGAACAAAGTACGAGAAGCTGAAAGAGACAAACTTACTAAAGTAACACTGGAAAGTAACTCTGCTATCAAAGAAGTTAAGAGACAAAATGATAAAGTAAGTGCAAACAAATGACCTGCCAATAAAGGGCTAATGTACAACAAATCTAAAACAGTATTATATGATCATTTAAGATCACAGATGTACTTTGTTTGGCATAATTTACACCAGGTTCTTATGGTATTTATATGGTTCTTTTAACAGTGATGTAATAAAGAGTATTAAAGATACATGTATTTGAATATAAAAAATTATTTTCAATTAAAGTCATTAATTTATATTTTGGATTGTTTCCCTTTGACCATTTAATGAAGGAAATTTAGATATTTTTACACATCAGTTACACAGATTTTTTTTCTTAACAAATGACTGAAATTGAAAAGAATTACCTAAACTATAGAATGTTAGTTATTCATTTTGTAATACCTAAATGAAGGAAACATGTACATTGTGCTCTGTACATCAGAATTAGGCTTTGGTAAGAAATGTTAAAATCCCTGAACAAATTGTAATTACATTTTCAGATTCAAGTGAATATCTTCTGGTACATAGTATTTTTGTTTATGTCCTCTGACATATCAATAGAATCTTAATAGAGTCTTAGCAGAGTTTATCTGCTATTTAAGATAATTTTGGAGTTTTAATGCATAGGCATTGACCACAGAGGCCATAGGCCTAAGTGTTAATTTATTGGCATCAAAATGATGTATCTTTGCAGTGTAACCAAACTGTATACCGTTGACTGCTATATACTGCTTGCTATATACCATGGCCTTTTTTTTTAAACAATCACATCAAAAGCTGATGATACCAAATTCAAAGCTGGACAAATTCATTATACAAATCAGGAATTGTAAGGGTAAAATATTGTACATATATATTTCAGGTTGAGCAGATATTGAAGGTGGCAGAAATGTGTCGTAAGCTGGAGACAGAAGAAGAGAAAGTTCTGCCATTCTACGCCTCGTCTCTTACTAAAGATGAGCAGGAAGATGTTGATGTAGCTGTCATGGAAGTCCCATCTGAACCACTAGCAAATGTAATATATATTTTATATACATTATGGTTTTGTGTACAGGTTTTATACTCATAATTAACAAGTTTCATTTAAAAAAAAACAACAGTTTCTGTTCTGAATTTAGGAACAGTTAAACTAACATGTGTCTTTCTTATTGAAGATAAAGTGAACAAGCACAATAGGGCTTTCAACTTTTGTAAAACATGTTTGTTTGTACTGGAATTAATGACAAACATTTTGATAACAAATACTCTTAATATCACTTTAAATATATTTACTTGTTGGCCAAATGGCCTTCTTAAAATTAGTATTCCATTGAATGTGGAATAACTAAATTTTGCCCTCTTTGATATAAATTATATGGTTGAAAAGATATGTTTCTTGTTAAAGTACAGTTATATAATATAGTAAAAAAACAAACTTTTAAGCCTTTTTCTTAAGAGAAAAGCTGTCGCAAACTCATATTTTATGACTAATTTAATAAAGAATTTTAAATTATCAGCATGTATATGGTTGTATTACTGTTTAGTGTTCTTTTCCATTCCAAGTTCTGCATGGTTATTTCTACTTTTGTTCAAATATTTTTTATAAGTGACATCTTTTTTCATTTAGGCAATGCATGAATACACGAGCCTAGAAAACTTCTGGAAACGTCACAACAAAGTTCTTCTAGATAAGTTAGCACTAGACAAAGAGAAGCAAACATTGATGGGAGAGAACCAGCAGTTACGTACCTTGTTGAAACAATATTTGGATGGTATTTCTGTCAATGATGAAATCATCAGCCAAGTGAACCCATTGTTTATCGTCAACAACAAAACAAATGTCAAGTAAGTAAAAAAATTTAATCATTATTGATTATTCCATGGAATGCCTTAAAACTAGCTAAGTACCTGTTAATGTTTAAAGTTATGCAAAGATATTACACATATATATATATATAATTGTGAGTATATTCCTTGGGGAGTGATGCAATTACTTGAGATGATGATGAAGGTGCATTGTGGTCTTCCTCCAGCAGTTAAGCAGTAAAGTCACCTTATGACCTTTACAATGGCACTGTGACAAAAGCTCCAGATATATTAAAAAGCCTTATCAATGTAAGGCTTAGGTACAGTTTAACAAAATAAGCATATATTTTATTTCTATGCATAAAGAATGTGTAGAATCAAATATTGCTAAAGCTTCAAATGTTTACTGTCACAGACTGACTTTCGGGAAAAGATGGGCAAAAGATTTGCCTAAAATCTACCCTTAATTGGATATTACCAGTATGTAAAACTTCCTTTCGTATGCTAAAAATGTTAATTTTTTTTAACTATGTATAACTGTACTATAAATAACCTGTGCATTAAAGTGTGACTTCAATGACTGATAAGAAATGAGCGAAAATGACTACAAATAAACGGCAAATAAAGGGTTATCTCTTTACTTCATTACAACAAAATCTACTTCTTGTAGGCTAGCTAGATTTATGTTATTATGATATCTTACTTCTTTATAATTGTATGTTTATTCTCTTGTAGGTTAAATGTACCAGTTCATGACCCCAGAATACGTCGACCAGCCGCTCAGACTGTTGTAGAAGCAGCACATGTGATCAGACACACAATGCCTTCATAAAACACCATCCTGAACTCTTTTATATGAACTTTGTCTACTATGTTAGTATGTTAACAAACTGTGTTTGTTACAATTGTGTAAAAAAAAACTGTGATAATTATGGAAGTTTTCATTTTATTATGTAATGTATGTTTAATTTTGTTGTCAACAATAATCTTCAGAGCATTTAGTTTTAAGATTCCTCTGTTTCAAAATACACCCCTTATATGAAACATGATTGTGCAGGGAAAATATTGAAAAACACAGACCTTATTTGTCTTCGAGAGACTTCACTTTCAATATACATTAATAAGTGATATTATATACTAAACAAAAACTATTTATATTTGTTACTGAATTGTTGATGTATTTTTATTTCAGTGTAAGATGAAAATAAACTTATAAAAGATAAATTGTTCACACTTCTATAACTTTTTATCTAAATACATGTAGATGTTTAAACCTCGATCTAAGCATGAATGACCATAATAACAAAGTAACCAGTTCAAATAATAGAAATGACATCCTGTATATCCAAGTATATTTGTTAACTCAGGGTTCCCACGGTCAGGGAAAAGTCAGGGAAAAATGATTTTTTTTCAAGGTCAGGGAAAAGTCAGGGAATTTTGAAATTGGTCAGGGAAATTTGAAAAATAAGCAAAAGTCAGGGAAAAGTCAGGGAATTTTGTAGAAAATAATGTTTTTGTGAAACAGCAAGAAGGAAAATCAGTAAAAGCTAAGGCAGTTTCTTCCATTATTTTGGGTATCTTATTGTTATTTTTGATTCTAAGCGTCTGTTTTATTTTTATATTTTTTGACTCTTAAAATGATTATGCTTCTGCCTGAAGATTCTGGATATTTTTGTCATTATTAGTAACTATCTTATTAAGGCAGAAGCTAAAAGGAGTTTAAGCATAGCTTGTCTCCTGAGCTATTTATGGTTTGTTCTTGTGAAAGAGGCTGATAATCTGCTCAGGAGGCTGAAAAAATATGAAAATGGACTTGCTTGTGAAGTAAAATGCCAAGTGCAATGCCTTCAGGGTCAAGGTCAAAGAAAAGTTATAAAAGAATCCAGTAAAGATATTGAGAAACTTGAGAAAACACTTAGTGGACTTCGATTAAGTACCAATAATTTTAGTGCCATGTTGTGTTTTTGCACATAATTATGCATTAAACCATAACTTTGAAAAACTAACTGCCATAGCTAGTTTTATTAGTAGTATTATTAGCTTTTACTGCATTTTGCTTTTAATGTAGCCACTTCATTACCTGTCTTATTGTTTCTTGTCCAACACTAGTTTTCCATTGATAACTATCATATATTTTATAAAAATACAGGCCTGTTTTAGTCAATCCTCTTTGCATTTGTAAGAGAATGAAACATCTTTCAGCATAACATGTACTATCAAATACATTGTACTTTACATTTTGGATAAATTTACTCATACTTGTTGAAAGTAAACAAGAAAAGTTGCTTATGACAATTGCTCGCTAATATTCATGTATTTTTTATCTTGAATAATTTAAAATAAAGAATTTGAGAAAATAGGTTGGCTGTTTGGGGAGGAGGAGGTGGTAATACATGTTTAAAAAATGCATTTAATGCTCTAAGATTGTGCAAACTTGACGCTGTTATTGGTCAGGGAAAAATGGCTTTGGTCAGGGAAAAGTCATGGAAAAGTCAGGGAATTTTGATTTCTCTTCTTTGTGGGAACCCTGTATAATCTATCTGTGAACCTTTTGCAACTCTCTATTTCATCAACTTAATAATGAAATCCCTATGTAATACTCAGTTATTACAGTTTTAAATTTAATGCACATTTTATTTCTCAAATTCATTATAGGATTTAAGGAATGTGTATGCAAGTAAAAAAATGTTTCAACTTCAGTATGGTCATCTCTGATACAAAATTTGATGGGATTTATCCAAGGATCAACCATTTTTGTTATTTTAAAGTTTTGTAGTAATTGATCCTATTTGGGCAAAAATAATTTGCTGGAAACTTGCTAAGATCCCATTTTAGAGCAATTGTTTTTCATTGTGTGTGTGTGTTTTTTTGTTTTGTTTTGTTTTTTAATTTTTTAGAGCTCCACTTTCAAACTATTGTAATGACTCTGTAAGCAATCGCATTCATGGTTAAACTTTTCGCTAAGGACCATTTTCTCAGAGACTATTATACTTTTTTATTGCACTTGGAAAACCTGTTTATTGTCCTAAAAAGGTGTCATTTCAAAAGGGCAGATAATCCAAATAATATTTGTTTGCAAAGTTATGCACCTTTTTCAACTTTGATTTTTAGATTTGACTTAGGTGTTAAGCCCTGGTTAATCGTTTTGTGAAAGTAACGAAGCTATATCTCGTAAACGAAGCTATTCACTTCAAGCTTGATATACATACATGTTCACTATTAAAATCTGACACCATTTCAGAAAGGCAGATAATCCTAAAATTCATTTTTCAGACTTGGGATACTTGTTCCATTTCTAAAATGGAATGCATTTCCACCCTGCAGATGCATTTCAAATTTGATAATGGTAAAGTACTCAAAGTTTAAAGTAAACTTATTTGATAAAAAAAATGTACCAGGGGGCATAATTGAGAAAGGTAAATTAAAGTAACCTGCCCTTTAGATTTTTTTTTTTTCGAATGTCTGGACCAAAAATTGTTGTGCAAATATTCAAATCATTACCTCTTTCATATTTTTCAATGTCATCATTTTATTGTGCAAAATAACCCAAAAATGAAGATCGAGCATTTCCCAGGCTTAGAAACCCTAAAAAACGATTTTAAAATTTATTCTGAGTATATTTCTTTAGTGACCTTTGCAGTCATTTCCAATTTAAGTGAATAAGAAATTTACATCTCAGTGGAATATTGATCAGACAAGCAAGGAATAGCTAGGTGTCATACGTACAGACAGACACACGAACAGGCCATTATAGAGAAAATTAAATTTAAGTTGGGGCATAAAATACAATTAAACTCATTTTTTGTTTGCATAGTTCTTCAAGTATTGCATTAATTAAAATGTCAAACAAATAAAAGATCCTAACGCATTACCATCACTTCGAAGAGTCTTTAAACCATAGGTGTTCATCGCGTTGATTGGTCACTACTCCCATCCCCCGTCCACTCTACAACCATCCTACCTCTAAAAAACATGTAAACTGCAGTATTTTTCCTTTGAAAATGTTTTAATATTTTGTATACTGTATGCTTTTAATTCAATGTCCTTAATTTCTCACATTTGTTATTCCTTTTTTTATTACACAGCTTACCAACAACATAATTGCCCATTCACACCTTATGACAAGGGATTTTAAAATACCCCCTATATAATCTAACCCCTTCTTTATTTAACTTTTCTGCAAAGTCGTCTGCAAAGTATACCGTCCCCAGATTAGGAAAAGGCCGTATTTACCTCCCTTGGCAGCTCTTTGTTAAGGTCTTTTTGTAGTTGCTGCTATTTTATTCGCATATTCAGGTAGATGTGGTGCTTTCATCTGATTTCATCCATTTAAATTGCCGGAACTAGAAAGTTCAACGGCTGTCTGTAACACGCAGCAGGTAATCAGCTTCGAATGCCAAACTTTTCGAATCCGGGTCAACTCGGCCCTAAAACATACTCGGCCCCCGAGTCAGCTCGGCCCTATTCCAACTCGGCACGGGTCAACTCGGCCCACTTTTAAAAATGGATAAAGGACATCAAAGGGCTCCTATATATGGGCTATTATTATCAATCAATGTATATTTTAAAGATACCGATTAATTAGGTGATAATTATGATTGTCTCATTCATTCAAATTTGATTAATGACCACCTGCAATTAATTAGAAGCTTATGCTATTAAGTTAACACGTTTTTGTTTCATATTTTTTAAAAAATTACTTTACAAACAAAATGCATCTAACTAAAGGAAACACATTTTTATTATATCTATATTCATAGGCACAAGTATAGGACCTGGGAAGAAAAAATATGAAGTTATTTTATCAATCTTTTCATATTTTTTCTTCCCAGGTTCTATAATCGTGCCTATATTAATTTTATCGAATCTGCAAGACAAATAAATAACTTTTTTCTAAATATACTTTATTTCAGCAGATGTACAATGTATAATTATTTAATAATAATAAGATATTTCTTATTATTCATTTACCTTAACAACATGCAAACTGAAAGCAAAGTAAATTATATACGTTATAGGCCTATATATTTTTGTAAAGTGGGCCGAGTTGACCCGTGCAGAGTTGACCCGTGCCGAGTTGGTATAGGGCCGAGTTGACTCTTTTCCAAACTTTTCGCCCCAAAACGTTTCACTTCCAGGGACGGTTCACACCTAGACGTTCTTTCTCTATGTAAAATTCTTCCTGACTCATAGAATAGACACTGCTTTTAAGTCCATCTATTTTGACATTGTGTAGATAAAAAGTGTTTGTAAAAGTTTTGCCAGATAAAAAAAAGAAAATTTTATGAACATTTTGTTAAAAGATTGTTTAATCAAATTAATGATGATTAACTAATATGCCTAAAGTTATTTTTGCCTGTTATTAAGCAGTCAAATTGCTGCTTTTTTCTCTAGATTTACTCCCTTCTTGTCTGCTGCAGTAGTGTCACATATAAATGTAGGAAGTTTATTGAACTGTAAGACTTCAGTCAAAAGGTCATGATTATAAAATAGTTTTATAATGAAGTTCCTTTGTAAATGAAATAAAAAATAAATGAATGATATATTTTTGACAGGGGGTGTGGGGGGGGGGGGGGGATTCGGGGGGAATAAATTTTTTTCTTTTCTTTTTTTCTTTTGGAAGGAAATATTTTGCAGCAAAAGGGGCAAAATTAATTCTTTTTGATGAGGGAAATTGACTTGTTAAAAAAAAAACACACCAATTTCCATAGCAACTAGTGACTTTCCATGGCAACTTGTGGCTTGATGATCACATGTCTTTACAATTACAGTTCATCTATCTTTAAAAATTTAGTTTAGTTGCACAAACTTCAATAATTTTTTACTGCCGTATTATGTTCAAATCTTTCCAGATCAAAAACATTGACCACTTTAGAAAAATTGAGGTAAAAATTTAACTGCAATAATTGAAGAGTAAGTGGAAGATAAATTAATATAGTTTTTATTTCATTTCATAGGTCAGCTAAGAACCAGACTTAATAAAAGACTGCCTAGAGGAGCATATTCATATATGTGATATCTGAGAAAAGCAAACCACCAACTGCAGCAAAAAGATGCAAAATGAAATGATTAAACTGGTGAAAAAAGCTCAGAACAGGACGTGATAAAGAACAGGCTGCCTTAAGGAGTATTTTCATTTGTTATATCTGTGAGAAGCGCACCACCAACAGCCAAAAGACACAAAATGATGAAAACAGAAGAAAAAAACTATCACTGCACATACATGTACTGTAATTATATGTCTTCTTTTGAAGATAGTCTAAAACTACATATGACATCCCATACTAAAGAAAAGAACTATAAATGTGACACCTGTGGTAAAGCATTTCCATATAAAAGCTACTTAAATATACACAAAGTAAAACACACTGAAGAGAAATGTTATGTCTGTGGAATCTGTGATAAGTCATTTCGTCATAAATCTAGTCTCCTCAAGCATATGAATATTCACACTGGTGAAAAGAATCACAGGTGTGAAACCTGTGACATAATATTTTCTCAGGCAGGTAACTATAAAAAACATATGAAAATGTACCATGGTGGGATTGTTTATAAATGTGAAGTCTGCGATGAAGAATTTTCACAAGAACGTAATTTAAAAAGACATTTAACAACACACACTGGTGAAAAAGTTCATAGATGTGAAACCTGTAACAAATCCTTTTCCCAGGCATGTAATTACAAAAGACACATGAAAATGCACTCTGGTGGGACTTTTTACAAATGTGTACTCTGCGATAAAAGTTTTTCTCAAAAATGTAATTTTAAAAGACATTTAACAACACACACTGGTGAAAAAGTTCATAAATGTGAACTCTGTGATAGTGCATTTCCTCAAGCATGTCATTTGAAAAATCATATTATGACAGTGCATGTCCGTAAGAAAAGTCATGAATGTGGTATCTGTGCCAAAGCATTTTCTTGTGAAATATATTTGAAAAAACACCTGACAATACACAATAAATTTTGTGAGAGGAATTATAAATGTGGCATATGTGATAAAGCGTACAACTTTAAAGATGATTTAAAAAGACACATGGTCATTCACACTGGTGAGAGGACTTACAAATGTGACATATGTGACAAAGTATTCACTTATCAAAGTACTCTGAGGCGACACTTGTCAATACACTCTGGTGAGAATAATTACAGACATAAAACAAAATTGATCATATAACATTATGTTTCATACTTGGACAAGCAACAAGTGTGACTAGACTTAGCTATTTAAATATATACAAAAAGGGAAAACTTTTTTTTAATGCCACCGCAGCATCTGCGATGCGGTGGCATATAGCGATTCACCTGTGTGTGTGTGTGTTTGTGTGTGTATTTGTGTGTGTGTTATATAGATTATAATTATAGTGAACTTAAAAAATCTTCTTGTGAAAAACCACTTGTCCAATTTCAACCAAACTTGGCAGGATTGATCCTTGGGTGAAGGGCTCCCAAAGTTGTTCAAAGAATTTCATTCCATGCAGAAATCTGGTTGCCATGGCAACCAAAAGGAATTATAAGAATAAAGTTTAAAAATCTTCTTGTAAATACCTTAAAGGCCTAGAGCTTACATATTTTGCATAAGGCATCGTCTGGTAGACCTCTAACAAGATTTTTCAAATTATAGCCCCGGGGTCAAAATTGGCCCCGCCCCGAGGGTCATTGATTTTCACTATATGTACATATAGTAAAAACTAAAAATACCTTCTTGTAAAGACCCAAAAAGCCTAGAGCTTAGATATTTTGCATAAGGCATTGTCTGGTAGACCCTTACCAAGATTGTTCAAATAATAGCCCTGGGGTCAAAATCAGCCCCGCCCCGGGGTCATTGATTTTCACTATATGTACATATAGTAAAAACTTAAGAAACCTTCTTGTAAAGACCCAAAAGGCCTAGAGCTTAGATATTTGCATAGGGCATTGTTTGGTAGACCTCTACTCAGATTATTCAAAATCGGCCCCGCCCCGGGGGTCATTGGTTTTCCTTATATGTATATAGTAAAAACTTATAGAAAAAACTTCTTTTAGCAATTGATATTTTGCATGAAACTTTGTGTAGTAAACCTTTAGCAAGATTGTTCAAATTATAGCCCTGGGGTCAAATTGCCCCCACCCTGGGGGTCATTGATTTCAATATATACATATAGTAAAAAAACAAAAAATCTTATTGTCTGAAGGTACAAGGCTTAGAGCTTTAATATTTGTTAAATAATATCATCTATAGGTACTCTACCAAAGTTGTTCAAATTTTGCCTCTAGTTTCAAAATTAGCCCCACCCCGGGGGCCATAGGTTTTCCTTATACATGTATGTATATAGTAAAAACTTAAAAAATCATCTTCTCTAAATTTACAAAGCCTAGAGTTAAGATATTTTGCATGAAACATTGTGTAATGAACCTTTAGCAAGATTGTACAAATTATAGCCCTGGGGTCAAAATTGGCCCCACCCCCAGGGGTCATTGATTTTCACTATGTACATATAGTAAATTTTTTTAAAAATTCTTTTGTCTGAAGGTACAAGGCTTAGAGATTTGATATTTGGTATATAATATCATCTATGGGTCCTCTACTAAAGTTGTTTTAATTATGCCCCTAGTGTAAAAATTGCCCTGCCCCAGAGGCAATAGTTTTCCTTATATGTATAAAGTAAAAACTTGAAAAATCTTCTGAATCTCTGAATTGACAAAGGCTAGAGGTTAAATATATGGCATGAGTTTTTGCCAAGTGAACCTCTACCAAGATTGTTCAAATTATAGCCCTTGGGTCAAAATTGGTTCCGCCCCAGGGGTCATTGATTTTCATTATGTACATATAGTGAAAAAATAAAAAATATTTTTGTCTGAAGGTACAAGGCATAGAGCTTTGATGTTTGATATATAATATCATTTATAGGTCCTCTACCAAAGTTGTTCAAATTTTTCCCCTGGTGTCAAAATTGGCCCTGCCCGGGGGCAGTGATTCTCATTATGTACAAATAGTAAAAACAGAAAATAAAACAAATGTTTTCTGAATGGGAGAAAGCTACAGCTTAGATATTTGACTTGAAATGTTGTTTGGTGGACATGTATCAAGATTGTTTTGAATTAAACCCTTGGGTCAAAATTTTGCCTTGCCCAAGGGGACAGTGACCTACTTTCTTGTCCTTTGATGTACAGCAATGAAATTTTGACCATATGCACAGTTTTAGTTAAGATATCAGGTGACCTAGATTTTGATGATGTGACCTACTTTCTTGTCCTTTGATGTACATTTATGAAATTTGAATCAAGCGGTGGCATAGCATTTTTCTCAAATGCAATCTTGTTTTTAAAGATTTTATTTAAACATTTATTTTGTTTGCTTTTAGAGGATAAAAAAGAGAGAGAAAATGAGCATTGCCCTCACCCAGCAGTGGCTCTTGTTGTGTTATAGCTAGTGTTGGTGTGCATGTCATGGGTATTGTGCTTATGTTTGTTTCACTATAGGGTATGATATTACAATTTTATGTATGTACATTTTTTGCCAAAATAAATTTTGTGATAAGTTACATGTTTTTTTGTTATACCACCAACAGGCAAAATGTAATTGAATATAAAGTTTGGTCCATCGCAATTTGATTCCTCGAAGTATCACTCCAAATTTATAAAAGGAATTGAATATAAACTTATTGTTACTAGGAGTGAAGAGTGAAAGAACCATGGCTCATAAAAGTCCCATTTTTAGCTCACCTGAGTACAAAGTAAAGCTCTACTAAAATTGATCAAATGGTTCTTCATTGAACATCTGGATCAGAGAGGCTTAAAATATGTACTAAAAATGAAATCTTGAAAAATCTGCTTCTAAAAGTGCAAGACCCTAAGCTTTGATATTTTGCATGATGCAAACTCTCTAGGCAATCTCTACAAAAATTGTTCAAATTAAAATTCTACGATCAAATTTGGTTTTATCCCTATGGTGGCCATGGTGTTTCCTTACGAGTATTAAGTAAATACTTTAAGTCTTCTCTTTGAAAACTGCAAGGGCTAGATTATAGACCTAAGCATGAAACATTGTTGACCTCTACCATGTTTTTTTAAAGTAAAGCCCTGAAATTTAAATCTGCTAATCCAGGATGTTGGGTATAGGGTCCTTATATGTTTATTAACCAGTGACATTCAAATTGCTCAACCATTGACTTTTCTTAGCATCCAGTCACTTCCATATAGCAGTCAGTGACTTTGGTGACCTTCATGGGAAACGTTGACTTTCTATAGCAACCATTAAATTCCAGTGACTTTCCCTAGGACCAATTGACTTTCCATAGCAACTAGTGACTTTTCATTGGTTGCTCCATGGCAACCAATGACTTCCATAGCAACTTTTGACTTTCATTAGTAACCAGTGACTTTCCCTAGCAGTCATTGACTTTCAACATCAACAAGTCACTTCCATTGCAACCATTGACTTCTATTGCAATCATTGACAGGCTATACCAAGGAGTGTCTTTCTATAGCAATAATTAAAATTCCACAGCAACAAGTGATTTTCCATAGCAATCAGTGGCTTCCCATAGACTTTCATAGGAAACATTGACTTTCTATAGCAACCATTAAATTCCATAGTGACTTCCCTAGAAACAATTGACTTTCCATAGCAACCAGTGTTTTCCATAGCAACTGCTGACTTCCATATCAACTGTTGACTTTCAATAGTAACCAGTGACATTCCATTGCAGTCATTAACATTCAACATCAAGTCACTTCGATTGCAACCATTGACTTCTGTAGCAATAATTGACAGTCAACACCAACGAGTGCCTTTCTATAGCAATAATTACCATTACATTCCACAGCAACAAGTGATTTTCCATAGCAACTAATGACTTCCAGGAAAGGCATTGAATTAAGACAAAGCAACCAGTGTCACCCATAGTAATTATTGACTTTCTTCAGCAACAAGTGACTTCATTGCTTCTATCGACTGTCCATACCAGCCAGTGACTCTCCATACCAACCAGTGATTTCACAAGAAACCAGTGATTTCCATAGCAACTAGTGACTATCCATAGCAACCATAGACTTTCCATAACAACCAGTGATTTACATAAGAAGCATTGACTTTTGACATAACAATTGGTGACTCCTAAAGAAACTATTGTTTTTTCATAGCAACCAGTGACTAATAGCATCCAGTCACTATCCATAGCAACATGTCACTTCCATAGTCACCATGCTTATTGACCTTCCTTAGCAACAAAAGTAATTCCTGACAGCAATGGCTTTTTTCTCTGCAACCAGTGACTTCCAAAGCGACAGTTTACACCCTTTAGCAACCAGTGACTTCCTTAGCATCCAGTTGACCCATTGACTTCCCATAGTTATCCCCCGCCGATGGAATCGGGAGGGGGATATAGTTTTGGCGTCGTCCGTCCGTCCTTCAATCCGTCCGTCCATCCATCCGTCCGAATTTCGTTTCCGGAGTAGTTCTCTGCAACTACTGGCTGGAATTCAATGAAACTTTATGGGAATCATCAATATCAAGAGTAGATGCGCATATCGTCAGCTTGTTCCGGTCAGACCCTTTAACTCTGAGTTATGGCCCTTGATTAGATATGCAGAATGCATATAGAGTAAAATTTCGTTTCCGGAGTAGTTCTCTGAAACTACTGGCTGGAATTCAACGAAACTTTAGGGGAATCATCAATATCAAGAGGAGATGCGCATATCGTCAGCTTGTTCCGGTCAGACCCTTTGACTCAAGAGTTATGGCCATTGATTAGTTATGTAGTATGCATATAGAGTAAAAATCGTTTCCGCACTACTTCTCTGCAACTACTGGCTGGAATTCAACGAAACTTTATCGGAACCTTCAATACCAAGAGGAGATGCGCATATCGTTAGCTTGTTCCGGTCAGACACTTTAGCTCAGAGTTATGGCCCTTGATTAGTTATGCAGTATGCATATGAAGTAAAAATCATTTCCGCGCTAGTTCTCCGCAACTACTGGCTGGAATTCAACGAAACTTTATGGGAATCTTCAATACCAAGAGGAGATGCGCATATCGTTGCCTTTATCCGGTCAGACACTTTAACTCAGAGTTATGGCCCTTGATTAGTTATGCAGTATGCATATAGAGAAAAAATTGTTTCCGCGCTTCTTCTCTGCAACTACTGGCTGGAATTCAACGAAACTGTATGGGAACCTTCAATACCAAGAGGAGATGCGCATATCGTCGCCTTGTTCCGGTCAGACATTTTAACTTAGAGTTATGACCCTTGATAACTTAGGCAGTATTCAACCAGAGCAATAATCGTTTCCGTGCTACTGGCTGGAATTCAACGAAACTTTATGGGATACTAAGAGGAGATGTGCATATAGTCGCCTTGTTCCGGTCAGATACTTATAACTCAGATTTATGGCCCTTGATTAGTTATGTAGTATGCATACATTTCATTGGCATTTCCAGATATTACTATTCAACACAAAGTTATGGCTGTGTTATTGCCCTGAATATTTATCAAGTTCAAAGAATATTACTGTTTATGCCATGATTAATATATAAATAAAGCCTCATGTTTTCAGTTGTTGTGTTAATAAAAACCAGTACTCGGCGGGGGATATAAATTCAACGAATTTGCTTGTTAAACTTGTTTTTCATAGCAATACTTCATTTTCCTTAGCAAGAGATGACTTGTAAAGTAATCAATGACTTTCCTTAGCAACCAGTGACTTTCTTTACCAACCAGTGACTTTCAAAGCTATCATTGACATCCCTTAGCAACCAGTGATTTCCATAGGAAGCATTGACTTTTGACATAACAGTTGGAAACTATTGTTTTCATAGCAACCAGTGGCTTTAATAGCACCCAGTAAATATCCATAGCAATATGTCACTTCCATAGTCACCATGCTTATTGACCTTATACTTATATAGACTTTCAAAGCAATCATTGACATCCCTTAGCAATCAGCCAATGACTTTCTAAAGCCATAATTGTATTTCATAGCAAATATTGACTTCCCATTGCAACAAGTGACTTCCATAGCAACCATTTACTATCCATTGAAATAATTGTTTTTCATAGCAATCATTGATTTCCTTTTTATAGCCCCATCCCCTTCCACCACCACCACCACGAATTTCAATTTTTAAAATACCTTTAATAACCCGATCTGTCCGTCCATCTGAATGTTTGTCCATAGAAGGAAGTAATAGAAACAAAGCATAGTGGCGAGTAACCTTGGATCAATGAGAGCACGACATATGTTCATAACGTTTCCGCTTTTTAATAGTGTCAAGGTTAAGGTCATGGTCATTCAAAACTTGCATCAAAAAGAGTACTCTGGTTGGTTGACTAAATAAAATACAAACTGCATGCATGTAGCATTGTCCTTTGGACATTGAGGTAAAAAAATGGTCTTGCTCTGGAAGTCCCTTAATTTAGTTTTCAATAAGCGTGTCTTTAAATTTCCTTTATGAATCTGTTATATACATGTATATGTTTAACAATTAACATCATCTCTTAGTGCTCTACAAGAGTTATAAAACGGGTTTAGAAATTGGAAAATACATTTTATTTTAAACTAAACGAATATTTGGTATGTATGCGCGGACAGTAAGTATAATTTTCCCGAGTCTATTGACAAACAGTGCACGGCAAAATGAACACTTAACGTAATGTCAAACTTTTCGCAGGTATAAATTTAATAATGAAGACAACATGAAATTTATCAGAATTATAAATAAATTCCGGGTAATTCTTGACCATCCCTCGTAACCAAATAAATAAATTAAAATGGTCCAAAAAAGCAAAACTTTACGTATTAATGGTTACAGTTTTATTTTTATTTTTTTGTAGGAAATAACATGTTAAGTCGGCGTATTAATTCTTTCAAATGGGGTTCATGCCATCTAAATTTGACCGAACTAACAGGGAAGTTTTAATTGCCTTAAAAGTATATTTTAGACACTGTGGTACATAATGAAAAAGAACGGGTTCAGTTGTACATGTACTTTATAAGGGGAGCAGTATTTTATTGTCAGCAACATCTTTGTTTGCATGCTTTGTTTGGGAACATCCCTATGATATTTTTGGTAAATTCCTTATTAAAAAAGACTATCATTTCTCACTAAACCTGTCCGAATTACATTGCTAATGTACTTTTTTGTAAATGATATATACATTGTATATACCAATACCAAAACAATTATTACGCTGGCATTTGATGTTGATACAGGGGAGATGATCCCTCGGGAATAATGCACAGTGCATAAAATGGTTATGTCCCTTTAATAAATAAATCGTGTATATCCTAATAATTGTTATGTTCGATATACAAATATGTAATTAAAGAACAAAAGTACTAGAAAAAGTCTTAGTTTTGATTCACATGTGCACACATTTTTGGATTATCTTAAGTACTGTTAGAAACTCAATCAAAAACAATTAGAGGCAAAGCTAGTTGTAGATCAATGATATTAAAAGTGATTGACAGATAACTGTCTCAAGTGACACCAAACTCGTCTATATCTAATTAGCAAGAATTTACTGGCAATAAATTGATTAAATTAATACTTTGTATATATGGACAGGTACGTATATATACGTACCTGATATGGACAATTGGAATTTAGACTTATCAATCAGTGACAAGAAGTTTATATATCTAAAATTGGTTATTTTTACATAAAGCTAAAGCCAAGTTGTTGCTTTACATCTATTGTTGATTAGCCAGCGTATTGTCGTCAAGGTAAACAAACTGAAATATGCGGAGAGTATAAAGTATCTGGAGTTAATGAGATTTTCATTGACCTAACTTTCACAAGATCGATGTTTATTATACAGGATGCTTGAATGTAGAAGAAAATGGTCACATGAGTGACTGCAGAAAAAAAACAATGTCGCCTAAAGCGTCCTAAGAAACGTTTGTTGTTGTTTCCTTGCTTATATCATGTTGGTTTTTTTGTTGTTGCTGGCGTGGTTTCTTTTGTTTTGGAGATGAATGGGGTCATGGGAAAAAACGATATATATATATATTTAAAAAAAGTTTATTATATTGTCATAAATCTCATATATATAGACGTATATAGAACTTTGTATACCCTAAACTGATAAGAATACGGTAAAAACTTGCTGTTTGCTTTGCCATGTTTCTGCCAACGAATATATTCATTTTAAATCAGTTTTGATACTTTGATACCTTGCCGTGATAATAAATTGTATATTGTGACACCGTGGGCGGACATATCTATGCTTAAACAAATTTCATTACACCTAATAAATAAATGTTCCCGGTTTCATATTTCATTTATTTCAAATTTATTTCATTCTATTTGCTTTATAGTTTTGTTATCTACCAATTTTATTACATCCGCTCGTGTTTAAGTATATGAGTCTTTACATAGAGTTGATAAATAATTGCGTTTTGCGCTTGGTATACTGTATAAACTATATTATATATATTATAATAATATTATTAATGTATACAAGAATTGTGTGAGGAGATACTGTAACACAAAAGCAATTTTCTGGTATTTGTAGTTTTAATTCCTTGTTTAGACAATCTGTACCCTTGTCAAAATTAATTGATCGCACAGTATGCAGTTTGTCTTCAAATCATAGTAAATGTGTTGATGGAAAACTTTACTTACATGTCTATACAGACAGTAAATAAGAATAAAAGATACTAACTTAAATTGTACAATTTAAACAAATCATTATTGCTTTACCAAAAAGAGAAAAAAAACATAAACACAAACGACTGGTTAATAAAAAGTTTATTTCATGGGACATGCATCATATTGCACATTTAACAAATGATATATAACTCGGTAATTAAAATATAATTAAAACATCATAAATGTCGCAGTATGCAGCACAATTCATTACGAATTCAGCTGCATTAATTTCACAACTAGAGAGGTGCAAGACAATAATGAATAGGTAAAATGTAAATGAAAATTTACAGGTAGATTTAAGTTGTTATGGTCTGTTGAACTTAAGATTTCACTTTAGATTGGTAAAAGTACTGAGGCGATAAAATTAAGTAAATCAGTTCAACTTGTTTGTCAACAAAAGTAAACTTCTGAATGATGTTAAGACGTTTTCAATCATATCATCATCTTTGCAAATATATCCAGATTTTATACTTACACGTTTTCATACATGTATGTATGCTGTATTTATTTAATTTTTTTTGCACACAAAAATGAAATATCTGTTAATTATAAGTGACTAGTGCTAGCTCGTATACGCTTGAACCTTATTCGATGAACATTTGCGGTATTTTATTTTGATATCATATAACATTTGTCGAAACTTTGAAGAAGTCGAAAAAATTATCACAAACATGCAATGACGTATTTCGTCGTCACAATAATAGAACTATGCACAACCCTTTAACAAATTAACTATCGCTCCAGAGTTGGACTGGCTTGTAAGATTCCACTAAAATCCATTTAACAATAACTCTCCGTTCACAATCCGTGGCACGTTTTTATTTTCATCGTAACGGTCCTTATTCCATCTTGGAATAAAAATTTGTGATGCCCCTGGACCATCCGTAATATACAAATCTTCCTTGCTTTCATCCTCACTAGCATCATCATCACTTGTGTCAACATCTTTCTCGTTGATTATCTTACTTGTAGTGTAGGTCCTAGCTTTAAATTCTAGAGTGGTTTTAAACCACCTTCTACACTCGTCTATATGGTAATCCAAACATGTCACATAACTCTTCTCGGGTCTTTTCGGGAATATTATTAGGGTATCACTGAATCTCCTTGGTTTCACTATTGGTTGGTATAATGTCTGACTTTTATATCTCTTTCTTTGAGACTCTGGTAAGCAGACTATAGTATCCCTATACGCCACCGGTGTTAGACAGGGAACCATTCTAACCCCCTCATTATATCGTTTCATTGTCACAAAATCCACATAACTAGCTGACCGTCTCTCCTCATAATTCGGTAAAGGACACAGCGACACTGTTTCACTGACTTGGTCAGGTACAATAAGCCGTTCACTTCTCATACTACCGTATTAAGTAGGTCGCTTTTACTACGTTATTTTGAAAAGAGTGTATTGCCTTTAAAGTTTTAACACCGTCTATTATGCCAGTGAAGCAAACCTCTTCAGTGAAGCTTGGAGGGGTCAAGCACAGGTTTTATTTCAACGTTTTTACCTGAAATAAGTGAACAAAACATATTAAATGTATATCTAAATAATAAATATAAGTAAGTTATTAAATGCTGGCATGATACACTAAAAGTATTTTATGCCATTCACGAGATCGATAGATCGATAGCAATTAAACCAATTGATATTACTCAGTGCGTTGATAGAATCAGAAACAAGAATGTCAAATGAATATTTGATATGCTTTTATATAGTATTGCTTTCTCGTGCATAGAACACAAATAATTAATAAATATCATGTTTACTTCATAAACTTAAGATTGTGCTTGTATGAATTCCACATCATGTAAAAGATTGGAGGTCTTTAATGACCGGTGAGTTAAATTGTATTTCAGAGAATTGGAATGTTGAAAAAAATCAAATGAAAAGGGATACTCAGGCAAATCAATGACAAAAATATTAAAATGATCTTATGTACTGAAGTCACTCTGAAATGACATTTTATTAAGTCCCAGCCATAATTTCTGTATAAATTCTATATATTTTTGTTTTGAAGCGTTAATATAACTATATATGTTGAACAAAATTTAGACGCAGACAGAATCACCGACTAGTTCTTAAACAAGTCATGAAACTTGAACAAACGCTGGAAGATACAATAACAAATATTATGGATATTGTATGATTGGAAATAGTCTGAGTCAATTATTTGACATGTTCTTTAACGTTTCCAGAGTTCAGTGTGACAACTTTTTTTAAAAAACTTAACGCTCTAACCTGTTTAGGAAACCACCACTTTATCATTTATAAGGGAAAATGTTTTGTTCCTGTGACTGCCTAGTGTACATTTACAGAATAATGAATGAAAAATCCAAAACTGTGTCTCGGTCAAGAATTGTAGCACTTGATATTAGTATGAGAGAGTGAAGCGTTTCTGTAGTGAATGCTGCCCCCCCCCCCCCCCATAAAAAGAAAGAAAAAAATCATAAACGCCTTATAATGTTTAAAATAAATAGGTATGGTCTCGATGTGTCTTTAACGTAGTATCGTTTTTACTCTGTTTTACATATACTAGGATCATATATCTCTTCAGCAACAAATTAACTACGACGAAACGTTATTAGATACACTTGGTTAGGCAAAATGAAATTAATCAAGGGGCGTTAACTTGACAGCGAATATAAATAATGATAACGAGTGAGATTGCACAAAGAAGATGATATAAATGAACCAGAGGCGGTGTAGGGGGGTTACACGTAAATGTCTTTATTTAGGCAAAAGGTTGTGTTAAATATTGCTTTATAATGCTGAAAAAATGTTGTTGTTTTGTTGTTGTTGTTGTTGTTGTTCGAAATTTCATTTATACGGTATAGTATGATTAACTCCATCATATGTAATCCACTTAGTCTGTTATTAAATGGAATTGTTTTGTTTCAGCGAGAATGCATTGAAAGTATTAGCAACCATTAGCAACATTTGCATTGTGATTCTTTCTCTCTGTTTATTTCATTAAAGCTTATACAAGTTTTGTCAGCATGTGATCAAATTAAACGAGTATATTACGGCTGTAAATGAAATGTTTACAATATGATACACACATTCATATGTCACATATGTTTACATAATATCCTTACAGGAATATATGATCTGGAGTTGAAATCTCTTTTTTTCTTTAATATTTAAACACTGATACTTAAGTTATTTGCTTTATCCACTGCATAAAAATATATGTGCTTTTTTACAGAGAAAAAAAACTAAATTGACACTAAATGATTTGAAATTCCCTGTATCACAGTCCTTGCATAATATATCATACAAACAGCTCGTACTTTTAAACTGTTTTATAAATTTGTGCAATTTCAGAAATTACAAACTCAGCACCGCATTTTAAACATATAAATATACAGTCTGAACGTTAAATTATACTTAATTTGAATAAATTTACGGTAATATTTTAAAACATGAAATTGCATTAGTATACAAAATGTAATTTATGCCCCCGTCTATTGCTCAAATTTTTAAGAAAAAGAGACAATTAATTGGGAATGTTATTAATTATACTACAGTGGTGGAGATATACAATATGTCACATGTAAACCTAATTTTTTTGTAAAGTAAATGGACTTCCATACCCTTAAGGGTATACATTTTAGATAAGGTATTTCACTGTTAATGACTTACTAAATGAACCTTTACACGGGCAATATGATAAGATCGCACACATGTGCGGTTTGAAATGGTATTTAGTATATTTCTGACAGTTAACTAATTTCTGTGTATCTTGTACAAGTCCACAAATGACTGACAACTTCTCCCTGTCTGAAACATTTTTAGATCATGTCAAACGTCGGTTCAAACCAGTTGCGAGCAAAAAGTCGATTGGAATAAAATATGAATAATGCAATATCATTTCCAACATAGCTTTTTTTTCTGTGTGTGCGGATAAGTGACATTGACATTACGTTATAAACTATATAGGGTCTTATTTCAGGAGCAGATTTAACAATTTTGCTCTACATGTCATTCGACATTATCATACAATATTCATATCTTAAGTTTAAATTTCTTGATTTATGTAACTGAATTTTGTAATGTTTATAAACCTATTACAATGTTACGCTTGAGGAAATTATAAAAGTATGTAAACAGAATACTAATAGCTTGAGATTGTAAAATTTCTTCCCCCTTTAAATAAACGATGAAAAAAAAGTTTAAACATTCTATTTGAATGAAAAGAAAATCATAGCCTAATACTTCGATTTCATTCTTCTAAAGTTAGCATTAGTCTGTTTGTGTATAAAGTGATCTTCAAGTGGCCCGGCAGATAAGCCGACATGTAAAGGGGTTGTGTACTCGAAGTCAGTCAAGATGACTTCAAACCTTGAAGATAGGTCCTTTTATACTGAGATATTAGCCATAAACACTGATAAAGCAAACAACCAAACTGACTTAATACAAATTTGCCGATGACTGTATTAATTAATATTTGATTGGTTACTCGACATTGATCGATTGACAAAATGGAAATTAATAAGTACATGTACATGTAACTGCATTTTTTACATACGTGTAGCACATGTTGTCCGTCGTCCCTCTCAGAACTAGAATCTTAACTTTTGATATAGTAATCCCATGAACAATATAAAACTTATACAGCGTTATATGGATAAATTTTCGAAAGTTTACGAATAAGATTATTAAATATTTAGCTGTAAAATTTGAATCGATTTCCTTATTCAATTGACTCAAATGCCATTTTAGCAACCAACTTGTCTGGGATCTAGGTAGCAGAATAGGTGTGTATGCGGCAGTATAACAATGTAAAGTCAAGATTTGAACCCTTACTGTGTTCTGGCTGGAAAGTCGGATTTCCCCAGGGACTGATCATGACAAAGCGTTCGAAAATCATATGAGTTAAATTTTACAGTTTACCCGGAAGATGACTTCCTTTATCATTATAACCTGATAATATTTCAAATTACATCAGAAAAAAAAATTAAATCAAATCTTACCTAGGGTGAAGTTGTATGACACCTTGCCACTTGAAAGAAAATCGAAAAATCCAACTAAACTTTGTCACTCATTCCTTCCTTTTACTTTTTAACAACATTCAAAATAACCGCTTTTAACGCTAGCTTTTGAGCTAGCCGATTCAAATGAAAGATTTCATGAATAAAACCAGCGACAGCTACAAAGCTCTTTTGTAAAGATTGCACATTTAAATTTTAACTTAAATGTTCTCTATTTTCCTTGTTCGCGTGCTTGTGGCGTATTTTCAGTTTACCCAAGTTATCGAAGCGTTACCGGTGTAGGAATCTTGAAGCCATTCAACAAAGATTAATTGTTTAATCCGTGAAAGTTGGAGAAATACAAGAATAAACCCGATACTGTTTTAAAGTTACGGCTGTTTGTGTAATCGAAAATATATATGCATGTCCGCCACAATCTAGTAAAATAAACACTTATAATAACGGGAATCTATATAGTTATATATAACTGTGTGTTTGGTTTGTAAAGGTGGGCCAATATCTGTGATACAGAGATCAATATATGATCTAATAAAGTTAACGGGACACACGCATCGACATTAGAAACGACAAAACAAAAGATTAATGTGAATATAGCCTGTCAATAAATACCACACAAATAAATTGATAGTTAACACCCATCACGTCGTATATAACTATCATTTAGATATATAGTGTACAAAGGCCTACACTAACGATAATTTTACTTTATTATATGGTAGCATATGAAGATTTAGCAGAAGTACAAAACTAATTAAATATCTTCGTTTTGAAATATGGCCTTCTGAACAATAACAATTAAAAATTAACAATTAAATTACAATAAATTCAGTCTACCTATGATCTAAATTACAACATTTAGCTATCATGTACTGCAAACCCCTCTCGCAGGAACGGTGCATGTCGGAAATGTTAGTGAATGGTGTGAGAGAAAGATGAACATTATCTGGATAGTGAGGGACATTGAAACATTCAAGTAATTGTTAAATTGTTGTTATTATATCAGTAAGAGAGAATTCACTTAAGTAAGTCTTACTGCAATGCTTTCCCGATTTGCTACAGCATTGGCCGATGTTAGATTTTTGGCGGGAAATCATTAAGACTAACTTAAAAAGAGAATAAAAGTAAAAATACAACAGAAACAGAACAGAAAGTTTATTCAGTATTATGCATAAAAATCTGGAGAAAGGGTGAAACATCGGAAAAAAAACAATCACAACAAAATTACATGAACATTTTAGACCCGGTTTGATTGAGTATGTACATGCGGGGTAATGATAATAAAGTGCAACATCCCTGTTTGAACTTCGTGTTTGATACAGTGTGGGGAAAACGAAAATCTATGGTAGTCTGGTGGGACTTGAATTGTCTGGTGTGAATTGTAGTTTCGTAAGAGAAAGGGGTGCATATAATTATGTCTAGTAAGCCTCGATGGAGTTTAAATGAAGGTTGTAAGGTGAGTGGCTACTATATAGGTTGGGGTAAAATTTGAAGAAGAAAAAAAACAAACACACACAAAATGCGATGCTCAACAGAACGCCAGGCCAGCGAAGATCTTGCATGGCTGATACTGTTTACAATGGAGAAAAATCGTGTTTCATACAGCGTTTCACTCCTCTTTGAACCATTTCTATTTTCCCCTTTTCCTTTTTTTCCTTTTGAATGTTTGATTCTGTGCAGGGACTCCAAACAGTACCCCAACTAGGGTCGGACTAGGGATTGTTTGTGCGACCAGATTAGATACTCACTTACGAACGTCTTTGTTGATAAAAACGGTACCCAGATCTTTTTGCGAGATTTGCTTAGAACTATACTAAAACGTGTTAACAAATTTACAGAATATAAATAATATAAATCCTATTATTAAATTAGATGATGAAATAAATATCTATACATGGGGAATATTTTAATTTTAGGGTAATTCATACTCTTCATGCATCATATAAGTTTGAATTTTACCAAAATCTGTGCACGGATTTATATAACAATGTAATATAAATCCGTGATCTGTGCGACTTTTATGTATTGTTATGTCAAGTCTCTAACTTGTATAGCGAAAATCGCTATATAATTCTGGTATATGTCTTCAGTATTCAACTTTTTAACATGACTATTAGTGTCATTCAGCACTAAATGCAGAAATTGATAATGGCAGAGATGTAGATATAGTTACTATCTGCTAGGCCGTGTTAGCGTCACACGCCGCCATATTTATTGTGCTTATATGAACACTGTTTAAAGTAAAAGACGCACTGTAAACATGCTTGACTTTTGATATTCTTGAAATTTCGCCATAATACGTCAGACATAGCAGTTTTCTAACCCTATTGACCACTTACTCTGTTTTTGACGATTTTTGGCGTGGGCCTCATATATACACACATCTATAAATACTTATTCTATATTTACAACTTTTTAATTGGACCGCTGAAATCCTTGGCACGCGCAATGATGAAATGAACTGTTAACCGGTCAACATTTTTACTGTTACACCCCTGTCGACGTCATCGGGTATTTCTGTTAATGCCACCATTCGGTCTTCGAACGTCGCTCAGCTCAATGTATGGTAGTGGTTCGTCTGTATGCGGTGGCATAGAGCGGACATCAGAAATATTTCATCTATCACGTGCGCACGCGATAACTACTGCGTGCGCACACGATAGCTAAGGACTACGTGCGCGAGCGATAGCTACTACGTGACAGACTTTTAATGTCCGTATAGGTCAATCATTACGTGCGCACGTAACAGCCTTCGGCCTCTGGCAACAGTTCCAAATGTCATCCCTGATACCTCGGGGATGAATTAACTGTATAATGTTGAACACGTATCAAGGGAAAACACTCTTACTAGTTCATTCGTGATGATTGTATAGCTATTTCTCTCCCTTCCTGCAAGATAAATAGATTAAATTGAATATATATTAAATTGTGGGAAACATGAGTTTTATAACATTTGAACAAAGGTGTTAGAGCACGTGACATGCTTATCATCTAAAACAGTAGAGCCGAATGTGAAATTATTTGTCATAAAAGTAGCAAAATGCAACCAAACTAGTATTTTGACTTCAAATCACTATAACCAAAGGCCACAACAGCAAAATATTGTTCGAGTCTCTAACAAAACACAAAAAGTAGAAAGTTTGCAGAAATGAAAATAAATTAATTTTTGAAGCATAGTTGGCCTTTAAACTTTGAATTAATAATTCATAATTAGACAACAAATTTATGAAAACTATTGTAATCCCCATCATACATTTGGAGTTGTTTGGTCCAGAAAGTGATTTCAGACAGAATGTATCCATCTACTGACCTACCTACCTACTCCCCTGCCCCCTCCAAAAAAAAGAAGAAAAAGTCTCTAATAGTCATATTATAATATTTCATGCTACATCAAAAGTATTTCGTAAAATTATGAATGCTTACTGCTGGAAAACAAATGTTTTAAAATAATATTCATATTATATTAGAAAATCCTCATATTATACATGTACATAATATACTAAAGTGAATAATTTTAAATGTGTCTGTTTTTTTTCTGTCTGTCTGTCTGTCTGTCTGTATATCTGTATGTATGTCATTAATTTTCGAGAAGCAAGAAAAAGACAACCCCAATACATTTAGTAGTGTAGAACCTACAGATATTAGCGTGATATTAGTAATTCGTAAGAATACATTATGTACGTGATACATTTCCAAGGGGAAGTGTGACATCATTTTATGCATTTAGGAAATAATACTTATGGTATATATGATAGTATTAACGTGTGAAAATGCATGTTGCATCGATATATGTTCACTTTATGTCATGTCATTCGTGTAAAATTTTGTGCCCGCCCATATCCTGAAAAACTGGAGTAGAGTTCGGATAAGACGTGTATACATTCTCAACAGTTATAAACATATTTTAGCTCGGCCTTGTTTCGTGAAGGGGACCTTTCTCTATTAATGCACCGAGACCATTGAGAAAAGAGAATTTTAATTAACGAAAGATTTTTGAAATGGTTTATGTGAATTTAATTATTCAACAAGGCTCAGTTGATCAGGTGACTTATATAGCAATTACAATTTATTTTTGTGCTTCTTTTTTGTGTAGATATTTTTTAATGAGAAATTGGTGATGAAATCTCTAGGAATATTAATTGATATATTAGATAGCACACAGGGACCCAACACAGTGTTGGGATAGTGTAAAAAAGTAATTCTAAAAAAAAAATACTGTATATATAATTTAAAGTATTTTTTTTTCTAGAATTACTTTTTTTACACTATCCCAACACTGTGCCGGGTCCCTTTGAGATAGCATAGTTAATTTCAAATATCTAAGTAAAAATTCCATTTAATCAACATTCTGTTATGTTATCACAAGTACAAAAGTAGACTAAAGTTAAATATTTCATTTAACAGTCACCACTGAATGATATGACTGTCAAGGTCGAATTCATATTGGAATTTGTTTAAATTATTCCAACAATGCTATTTAATATTTATGGATTGGATTTATTTATAAACAAAAGAACCACATGACAAAATTAATATGTTGATTATTCTAATATGACCTTGACCTTTAATTAACCATGACCTTTAAGGTCAAATTATTGAAATTTGCTTAAATTGTCATAACTTTAATATTTATTTACAGACTTGATTTTATACTTAATATAGATAAATCATAATACTTAAATAAAAGAACACAAAATGACAAAATTGACATGTTGAATTATTTTAATATGAACTTGAGCATTAAGTGACATTGACTGTGAAGGTCAATTTATTGAAATTTACTTATTTTTCTTTGTCATAACTTTGTTATTATTTACAGACTTGATTTATACTTAAACACAATAACACATATGACAAACTTCCATGTTGAATTATTTTAATATTTTAATAAGCTGGCCTTGACTGTCAAGGTCAAGTTATCGAAATTTACTAATATTATCATAACTTTGTTATTTATTTACAGATTTGATTTGTAATGGAACTAAAAAACACATAATCAAAATTATGACAAAATTGTTATGTTGTTTTATTTTAACATGAACTTGACCTTTTAACTGGCCTTTAATAGCCATCAAGGTCAAAGTACTGAACTTAAATTGTCATAACTTTGTTATTTATTTTTGGATGTTATTTATACTTCGTCTTGGACAAAAGAATAGAGGGCTGAAGTATTTTATAATTAAACTAACATGTTGAAATATTTTACAATGACCTTGACCTTTAATTTGTCCTAACCTTCCAAGTATTTACTAAGATTTTCGTAGCTTTGTTATATTGATTTGTTCCTAATTTGACAAAAAAACAACAACAAAAAACCACATTATAGGGTTGAATTATTTTGACATGAAGTCAACCATCATTATTTTGGTTTTGACTATCAAGGTCAAATAATTGAAATTCATGGGTTAAATGGTCAGCAAATTTGTTATTTATTTTTGGATTTGA